AGTTGCCGAATAAAATCTCAAAATATATATGTAATTAAAGGAGTTGATATATTCTCATTGATGCATCTTACTATAAATATAAAGCATAAATTATTTTAAAAAAATAATATTTATTCATCTTATCTCTTAAAAATTAAGAGAAATATTATTTTAAAATTATATTATTTCAATAAATTTTTATTGAAAATGATTAAAAACTTTATATATATTTAGAATTAATATTTATTCATCTTATCTCTTAAAAATTTAAAAAAATTATTTTAAAATTATATTGTTTAATAAAATATCAAAAAATAATAAAAAAATATTTTAATTCATAATTTAAAAATAAAATATTAAAAATTTTAAATAAATAAAAATAATTAATTATTTAAATAATTCATAAAAATTTATAAAAAATTAATATAAAAAATTTAGTTTTATTAAAATTTAAAACTAATGTTTGTCAATCACATTTAAAAATTTTTTAGAGAAAAACATTGTAAAAATATATTGTTTTAATAAAATATTATAAAAAATTAAAATAAACTCATTTATATTTTAAAATTTGAATAATTAATTTTTAATCATCAACTTTAAACTAATTATAAATTTAAAGTCATATAAAAATATAAAAAAATAAAGTGAGAGTGATAAAAAAATAAATAATATCTATTTCAATCATTTTAATATTAAAAGATCTTTTATAAAAAAGTTTGCCAAACAACTTTCCATTCTGTAAGTGCTTTTATAAAAAATTTTATGAAACACTTCTAACTTTTTAAAAACAGCACTTTTACGACAGATTCTCTTTAACAAAACTTTTATTAAAAACTCCAGTCACACCAAACGATTTTAAATTATAAATGGAACAACATCAATAAACTGTTTCCTTTTGATTTGACTTTAGTAATAAATAAAAGTTAATAAAATAGATAATATTAATTTAAAATAAATAACATTATAATTTTAATATAATGTAAAATTATAAATTTATAATTGTAATATGAAATTAAATAAATATAATTTGATATTAAATGAGTAAA